AATAACTTGGTCAGTTATAAATTATAAACACATTTATTTGTGTATATTAATTATATTTAATGAGTAAAAGAATAACTAGATTGGTTATAAATTATGTATGTATATTATATTTAATGGGCAAAGGAATAACATGGTTAGTTATAATTATAAACACATTTTATTTGTGTATATTAATTATATTTAATGGGTAAAAGAATAACTTGTTCGGTTATAATTATAATAAACATTATTATTATTAAATAACTATTACAGAAAAAATTAATGTGTACATATATATATTAAAGTTATCTATCAGGATAATATAATATATGTTAAATTGCAAAAATGTCATCTCATACTGTTTAGCCCCATATAATTCGGAAGTTTATGACCAGTCAATAAAGCTCTCGCCATGATTTTCTCGTTTTTCTCTTCCTTTAAAGATAGTTTATATTTATTAACGAAGGATCTGCATAAATTTAGCCAATCAAATTTCTTCTAAAGAAATTCCAGAACTTTTATCATTTATAAATTAGGAAATATCATATTTAGCATATACCCTGACTGCAATAATAAGACTATACGACATGTAACACAGGTACAGTGTCGTGACCCGAAACTCTGAGTTTAGGGAAAACCAGAAACAGAAACTAACAGAAACCACCCGAAACTAGTTTAGGTTAGTATTTTATGTTTAGGTTTATGTTTATGTTTAGTTTCTGCTTAGTGTAAGTTCATTTTCCGAAACGTTTCGGGAAGCCAAAGGAGTTTCTGGTCACAACACTGCACAGGTATAAATGATAATAATAAGAAATAAAATCATAAATGAAGGAAAATAAAAATAAATAATAAATAAAAAAACAGAAATAGAATTAATTATAATTTGACCCGGAATTGCGAGATTCGTCCAAAATATCTTTGTCAGAATCTAATTCCGGTCTGGTAACACTATTACTATAATAATAATAAAATTTTTTTTGATTGAGAATTAAAAGCTTGTTTGTTACATGAAAATAATGGAATATTTTTCTTTAACAGTCAGTGTGCAAATCCTAAAAATTAAGGAGCAGGTTGTTTTGCCAGAAATTTTGGCTGATCAACATTGAAATTTTACTAATAAAAAACTCGAATTGAATGTCCTCAGTCCCTTATTTTATACCCTTGTTTTGTATCAATTGTCACCAAAATTTCCATGTTGTTTATTTTTCATGTTCTTTATTTTGCAAAAAATTTTCAAGTAAGGTTAATAAAAGAGCAGTAAAGAATCAAGGTCTCAAAGTTTTTTTTGACTTTGTGTGACAATAGAAGTGCAAATGGGGATTCACATCTTGTGTGTAAACTTGTAAAACTAGTGAAATACTTAAATATTTTAAATATTATGATTATATTTAAAGAAATTTTAAATAATGAATAGTTTGACAAATAAATTTTTATTTTATTTTATTTTTTATTACATTTTTATTATATTTCTTTGTTATATTAATTACACAGGAAGGATGTTTGTTAATAGATACTTGTCATGTATTTATTATACTCATTATTTGTGTTAATTATATGGGGCATGCTGCAACAAAACCAAACAAAGTGAACATTGGTATTACCAAAATTTCAGGGATTAAAATTAAAGATAGTAAAATGTAAAAATGTATCCGTTAACTTTTATGAATAATTTATTTTTATACAATATATAAAGATATATGTAATTTATTAAATAAAATATTATAAAAATGATCTTTTAATATTTACAAACTGGTGAAGAAATCACACTTATTAAAAGGTCTAATCCCAGACGAGCACCATCATCATCGTGTAAAATTAGATTTTCAATAGCGTTTAATTTTTGTCTCTATACATATGATAAAAATTTATATACAAACCATTGCTTATTGCAAAAGTTGTGTGATCTCTTGATTTTTGCTCATCCAATATACAACATCCATAGTTGTACACTTGTAGTAGATCACCACTTAGAAAATTTCTGCCAGTTTTTTTTAATTCTATTATGAATAGAATGTTATTGGAGTTCACCTTTAGACCTTTTCATGCAAATGATATATCTGGCGCATACCCTCATAAATAATGATTATTTTTGGTATGTTCAAATTTAACAAACTTCATTTGTGGATTGAGAAGAGACAACTGCTCTTCAAAATAATCTTGTAACCTCGATTCGCCATCAAAATGTTTTTTGATCATAAATAAGTTATCAGGTACTGTGATGTTTTTTGGTTTTTCAAACCAAAATTCATCACAAGATAAAATCATTGCGACTCTTAAAATATGTCTCCATCTCTTATTATTGGTATTGATCAATAATTGCATTTGGTTAGGCAACGTTAAGTCTTTACAAACATTACCCCTATAAGTGTTCTCTAAAATAATTTGTAAATATATAAATGAAATGAGTGAAAGTATTTTTTCTTTTTTTACATGATTTGTTCATTACCTATATTCTTTAGTCTTAATTTTCACTTTAAGATGGCAACTTTTTCTAGTTCTTTTATCCTCCGTTCCTAAAAGAATTGTTGTGGAGAATAATTGTGCATAAAAAATGGTTTATTTTTATATTTAATAATGTTTGCACTAAATATTAATAATTGGAATATATATATTTTTTTTTTTGTCATGTTAAGTAATTTTATTAATAATAGGAACATCATACATATTGTTAAATGTTACAAAATTAATCTACAACCTACTTAACTCACTCTCTATTTTACATTGAAATAGAAGAATGCGACATTACCACTGTAAGCCCTACATAAAGCAGGTGATTCAATAATCACACAATTAAGATTAACACTTTATGTCTTTGAGTTAAAAGATATCAGTGGAGTATCACGAACAAAAATAAAATCTAGTTTATTTTTTCCAAATCTAATATGATTTGTTATCACTAGAATCCAATCTGGTACTAAATTTGTGTTATTATTGTTAACATTATTTTCATTGCTGTTAACAATATTATTTTTTTTTTTTGTATTTCTTTTAATTCTTTTATTTCCTTTAGTATTAAATTTATTTTTCATTGAAACACCATATTCTTTTTCCCAGTTATTTTGTATTTTACACCATTCAATCCAGATTTTTTTCAAATAGTTCTTTATTAACAATGTTTGCTAAAGATATTGCTAGTTTTCTAGCTTTTGAGTTAGATCTTGTAATTTTATATAATTGCTGTATTAAATCTAAAGTTATATATCCACTTAGTAAATCATCAAGTGAACCTTTATTATCCCATGTATATATTTTATCAGGTAAGATAAATTTTTTATCTTTGATGATTTCTATATATATGTGTTAATTAACATCTTCTAATTGTTTGATTGTTTTAAAATATTTTATACAGTATTGAACACCATATTTCAGAAAGATATTTAATTAATTTCTTTTTGAAATAGTTAGTGATTGTGATACTAATTATTTTAATGATGTCATATACTTCTTCACAATTCCAAAGATGTGATAATATTTCTGGAGATCTTTCACATCTTTTACACATATGTCTTGAAGAATATAAATCTGGTTGTCTTTTTTTTAGATTTTCCATGATTGGGAGTTCATTTTGAAAGATTTTTACTCTAAATGCTTTTTGATTGTTTAATTTGAAGGAAGTTAGACAAGGAAAGTTTTTTGATATGACCCCTTAATGCAGCAAAAGTACTCTGCTAGTCAATAGATTCATATTGTTCATTATTAAAATTTTTGCTTCTTTTTAAATTTTTCCAATTTTGATAGTTGAATGCATCAGTTGTTTTCTTAATAAAAGATCTTGTGTGATAATCTACTGGTAAATTGTTCCACATAAGTTTATACTTTTGATAACTAAAATTATCAAATTTAATGGATATTGGAAACTTGTTTGTTCCTATTTTAGCTAATTTACCTGCCTTTTCATTCCATTTTTTTTCTGAATGTGCTTTACTTTAATTAATTTAACCTTTAAATTAAAACGATTGATTGTTAAAAGGATGACATCCCAAAAAGAATTGTTTTTAATTTTTAGGAAATTTCTTTTTGTTATACTTTTCATTTCATTATGTGTAAGATATGTATATGTATTAATTGTTGTTTGACTATCAGTATAAATATTTATTTTTGCATTCTTGGGGAAGAATACAACTTTTACTATTACTAATGCTATTACTATTATCAATAATATTATTACTAATATTTATATCTTTATTGTTTTTATTATCTTCTTTGACTTCATTCTCCATCTCTTTCTTCCTTTCTTTGTTAACCCACTGTTGAATTGCTTCTATCTGTTTTTCTTCTAGGATTTGTTTTTCATTGGTAGAAGTTTTTTATTGTGGAAGCAGCAACACCCTTTCCCCCTGAAAGTAATTCACGAATTTCAATAGCTATTTTCTGAATGAAAAATTTGGATTTAGTTTAGTCTTTTTGTCAAATAATTGTTAGAAA